TTGGGGTGCCGGGCAGCGGCGGCGGTCTCTTGAGATTTTACCCTTTGGCCTTATGAGTTTTGGACTCTGAATGGAAAAAAAGAGAAGCTGGACGTTATCATTTAAATGAGAGAAAAAATAGCTTTCCTGTATTTTTGAACTCTAGACAGCCCTTAATTCTTAACAAAAAAAGAAAAAAAATATGAAAAAAAGGTATTTGAGAATGGTGATTTATGAGGCCTTTCAGCTAAAAATTTATAACTTCAGAGACCCTATGGTTGCAGGGTCTTGTAAGTTCACACGCGTGTCCTAAATGTGACTTCCTAAAAATCCTGAAGGTCACAGAAGTAGTGTTGTGAGATGGATGGAATTTGCTACGACTGTGTCCCTTCCTGCTTTTACTTGCTCCCCCCCGCCCCCCCCCCCCTTTTTGTGTTTTATTTCTTCAGCATGTGGTTTCTCCAACAGCTTCTGCACAAATGTCTTCTGTTCATCTTGAAAATGAAAACATCCAGAATTTTATGTGACTGCTTTTTTGCCTCACAATTATGCTGTGAATTTTACAAGAATTTATTTTCCCTTTTGATAATTTATTGTACCAAAGCTGTTTTTTTATAGCACATAGATGTCTGTAACCAATAATGTAGCAGTTCTGCACTTTGACACAAGGTGTATCAAAACCTTTTTTAAATGTCAGTAAAAAAAATGGCTGTATCTATTGCTTTAGCAAAACTGGAACTGTTGTTAAACTCAGTACATTTACTGTTAGATGTATCCTGGACAGAATTGGTTGTATCCTCCTTCTCCTCCTTCCTTCCTCCTCCCAACACTCCCCTCCCACCCCACAAAAAAAAGACAACCTTTCATTGATAGAAATTTTGTTGATCTTGTCAGGCCTTGAGGGACAGTACATGCAGATTCTGGTTGCTACTCTGCAGGTTCCGGAGTACTGGATCGATGTCTGGTGTTTCAAATTTGGGGTCAAGATGCATTTGAGAAACAGAGCATTAGTTTTAAAGAATTGCGGCATTATCAGGTTACTCAAAGTGTGCGTATCGAAATGGTACCCCTCTCTGAAACTTTTAAGCGCTCCAAATCTAACAGTCCAAGGCACTGTACACCATCAAACGAGATCGATGCTAGATTAGATTGGTGTCCTAAAACCAAGTGTTCGAAATCCACACCATTGACTGAAGCTTTGAACATGAGCGTTTTGTTTTGAAGGGAAACTGGTAGCTGATGTGGTGACAGTCACATGTCTGCTGGAGCTCTGAGCTCTAGCATCAGTGATTGGATGTAAGATTAGTTTACTGGGCCAGAAGTGTTTCCAACAGGATCTGATCGCGAGTCTAATGGAACGACATCAGTGAGGGAAGGTGTCCACAAAATGCAGGCTTCAGGTGTTTACTTTTCACCTCCCCCTCCCCATTTTAATAGTTGAAATAGAATTTATGTACATATTTATATTTTTTTAAATAAAGGAAGTTTAGAACTCACTGCTTTTCCTAACGGTATTTTGATTACATTTAAGTCAATGTGGGAGTCTTCTGTGATTTTAGTAAATGGCTAACAGTGCTTCCAGGCCAAAGTAGTTGACAACGCCAGTACAAAAGTGTAGGTTTTACATTCAACAGGTAACCGTAGATCTTCATACCTTAAGTATTTTAGACAGGGTATAACGTGTGGCTGTTTGTCTACGAACCTGGATGACAGAAGTGTTTATATATATATATATATGAATATATAAAAGTGTTTTTATATATATATATAAAAATACACATACATGTCGTTTTTATATTGTATTTCTGTATGATATAAAAATGACTTCATGGGAAACTTTTTTATTGTTGCGTTTTAATTGGCACGAGCTTCAGTGGTGGGTCCATTTGAAGTGCTGCTCTTAGGTGTGAGTGCACACATCTGTCTCGCCAGTATAACCTATGCGTGGTCCACTTTGAAACATCCATACTCCTGAAACTTTTTCAACGATTCGGTGTAGTTACAAGGTCCGCTACTCCTCTCATTTCATTTTTAGGAAAGTGACTTTTTTTCCCCTCTATACCAGGCCCTTTCCCTCCCTTCCCTCATAACCCCTCCCCACCCCACCCCTCCCAGTCCAGTTTAGAGCGATTGGCTACACGGTTTGGTTACAGGACGTCTGACGTGCACTGTAAAGATGAACAGCATGGGAAAGTACCTGTGTCCACAGATTGTAAGATCTAGTCGACTTGCTGTGTATATGATAATGTTACAAAAAGAAAAAATGGACAAGCCCTTTGTATTATATTCAAGCGGTCTAATGTATGATATAAAAAAGACGTTCATTAACTTGTGCTGAGCCACCGCCTTCTTCTTGTGTTCCTGCTTTCGTCTTCACCCTACCTCATTTGTGACTGTAGATATTTTGAAACATAGGGACGGGTGTATTTTCTTGGACCAGTGCAGACACTACCTACCAAGTTTTAAAGTACGATATTGTTGGGTCATACTCCTTTATTTCTGAGGTGTTAACTTTATTGGAAATTAAAGTTACTCATTCAGGCAATGCAAGCAATGTGTAACTACCTTAATGGTATGGTTGTGTGCGTGCATAAAAATAATATATAATTTTAAAGGTGGGAAGAGGAACGGAATACCTCAGGATTCGGTGCAGACATCCTGAATTCTTTGAAAGTAAATTTAGGGTTTCTAAAAATAGAATTTATTTGATCCCCAAATTTGAGAAGCCCTAGTTTAGGGGGGGGATATAATGCGTTCTGCTTACTCAGCAATGTCGCTCTGCTAGACTCGACCCCTGCCAGACTGGTTCGAATGCCTGGGTCACGTAATTCCTGCAAAGGACTTTAAATGATCCTTGTTCATAACCACATGCTGGTTGTTAAATATTTGCCGCCGCTGACGTGCTTCATATGTTCTCGCAGAAAAGCGGATGCTTCTTGCTGCTGTTTTCACATTTATTTTTTATAAATTGTCTTTCATGAAGTTTAAGGCACAGTCAAGAGTGACATTAGAAAAATCTTTTTTCAGCGATGCATAGTTTGGTTTCAGACGGGATACTTGGAAAAAGAATGTACTATTGCAACACAAGCCAAGATTGTGAGCTAAAATGAGCCCCCTGAAGTTCTTTGCTCAAGTGTTCAGTTTTGTTCCTTAGTTATTTATTTGGCTCAAATAAAACTGATGAACATCATTACCGTGGAAACATAGACGTGACACTTGTGGTTCATTTTGTGTTTATATAGATTTATTTGGAATAATTGTCACCGGGTTACCAATTCTACATCTAAACGTACCAAAATTGCAAGTGCAAAAAACGGCACTCCAATAAGCCCAAATGTCAGAGAAGCTGTCACGAGGGTGTACCACGTACGACGTACACCTGGAAAAGTAGCGGACGGGTACTTACAAATATTTTCTATTTCGGTTTACTGTTTACCTTCGTCTACCAGAGACGTGGTGTCGTCATAAATGCCTGCAAACGAAGCGCGTCTAGCAAGGAAAGGGTGAAATGCTACAAGCATTTCCTGATATCAACGAAATCCGAACGCGTCTTCGGTTTCAGGGTAAACATTTAAAAGGCAATGTTGTTACTCGTGAATAATGGGTAAATTTGTCAAAACTTAATGCTCTAAATAGTAATTTATGTGCTTGGGCTGGAGCCAGGACTTTTACAATGGTTGTATAGATTTAATAATTTATTTTTTTGCTGGCCCTGTAATGTTTGTGTTACATTTTAAAATCTGTCAGTATTATTATTATTATCATTTATAATAATGATAATGATGACAACAGATATTATTATTATTATAATGATTATTATCGTCTTTGTTTTGTTGTTATTATTATTATCGAATCGTGCCAGTTTTCTTGCTAGAGAACACATGAATAACCGTATTTAAACCAGGAGATCCTTAGAACTACCAGGGTGTAATCTGGAGTCCGTGACAATCCCTCCGAAGCACCCTTCGTGTCGCCGCTCTTTTGGTGTTATGCAGTCTTTCTGTAGGACGTGCCGTATTGATCTCATTGGATTCATGCTTACTTAAAATAGTACGCAACTGCAGACTGGACATATGTATAGTCCTTTTGGTTTACTTAGAACTATGATGGGCGCAATGAAGTTACGAGTAAACCGAAACCCTTTAGCGTCGTAGCTAAGTGAATTATCAAAATATCCTTGCTCCACTGCTTCCATTTGCCCGTGCATTTGTTTTCATTTTTTTGTCCCCTATAGTACTTTATTTTTTGCATTAAAGTATTTTCATATTGGTAGGCTGTAAATGCCATTGTAAGTATGAGTGCCGTGATCTTGGAGAGCTTATTGATTGTATCATAATCGGAGTATGTAGTAATTGTGTACGTAGAAGAAACTATCAGTCTATCCAGATGCTCATCTTGGACAGGGTAGCGGGGACTGAAAGCTATCCCAGGTAGCGGAGAAGTCAAGGCAGGGCAACACCTAAGATTGGATGCCAGTCCATCCAGTGCTTACAGGAGAAGACCCCAATCTCTTTGGACTCTGAGGAGAACCCAGACTACCCGGAGGACACCCGTGTGAAATGGTAAACATGCCAATTCCGTATATAATGTGAGGGTAGGATTCAAACGACCCCCAGAGCTGTAATGCAACAGTGCTGCCTAATGACCAAACTGCTGGGAAAATAGACTTTTTAAATGGAGTGTAATACAGTCTTTAGACACTAGAGAGTGGTAAAACGCCACTATTCAGAAGCCACCAGCGGTGTAGAGTTCAGGTTCCTGATAAGATTAATCGGTGCACCTTGGATAGCTTTGGTATTTTCAACAATAATAAAGATGGTAAGGTGTGGAAAACCGTATTTTAATATGAAAACATTATTCAGCCCAATTGATTAAAACTGTGGAATCCTGTTAACTGGCTACATTAAGATGTTTTCTTCTTTAGCTGCTAAGATCCAGGTTTGGGCCTAATTTGTTTGAACCTGGGTACAAAGCTCATAACACCATCCTGCATTAAGAGAAATCATTCACAGACACATAAATCTTCTGAAACATACCGTGTCGATTTATTTAAAAATTTTGGCACTGTAATCCTTTGTGTTTTCTGTACATTTATTGTGCTTTCGTATGAAGCATGCTTTCATTCCGTTGCCTGTGCACAGACACACTAAAAGAACTGGGTCCAAAGGTTCAAAGACAGACACAAGCAAACCTGTCCCTTGAGGTCCTTCCCCCCCCCGAATACTTAATTCAACAGCTCACATACTGCAAATAGGCCGAACCTGCCATCAACCTCCCCTTCCCCTTTTATCGTAGTCTACCATGGTTTGTACCAGTAGTTTGCTCCTCCCCCCGAAATGTCTATTTTCAAAATCCCGGATGCCAAAAGAGTGCCACATACACTGAAAAGAGCTCGGACGGAGCAGCCGGGTCCGTGGGTCCAAAGGCTGCCGTCTCGCTAACACGTACCGTGGGTGAGCGTTTCCCTCAGCCAGGAGGCCGGTGGAGTTCGAGGGTAGCTCCGCTCGCTATTTGTTTAAACTCTTTAAATAGTACTGATTCCATTTCTAGGAGCGACAAATAGCCCTACAGTACTACATCAGCACGAATTCTTGATAGATAGAGTTGAGGTTAAAACAGTAATCTAAACCACAATAACGAGACCTACAAAATTTAAAGTGCCCCACCCTTTATACTTTTTATTTTAGGAGTTGGGGCGCAAATATTTTAAAGATATCATAGCAGGTCAATGAAATACCTTGCAACAAATGCTAGAGAACAAACTCTGGGGGACTTAACTTATAATTGCCACGCATTCATATTCTGATCGCGTCCATTCACGTAGAATCGCACACACTACAACTTCATCAGTCCTTGTTAATCTCTTACTAGTAGTCAAAAAATATATGAATAATACATTACTATAGGCTAAGATGACATAATCTGCCAACTGAAGATTAAAAGCCAACGGAAAGGATGGACATTTGTGCATCAAACCAGCAATTCAAGTATTTGACCCCTTGTTGAGGGTGTGCGGTCCCCTTAGAGAAAACAGCCCGTTTCGTTCCAGTGGCCCAGCGGCGCCTCGGACCATTTGCATTTCCAGTGTGTTTGTTCGCCTGTTCTCTGCCTTAAGCCTGGGGAAACGGGTAACCTTTGCAGGATCGGCAGGCTTTGCCTCCACCTGCTCAGCGTCCCAGCTCGTGGCTCCGCCTGTCTCTGTTGTCTGGAGGCGTCGTTTTATTGCTTAACTGTCTATTTCGGCTCCGCGTCTCCTCCCACCTAAAATGAAAATCATACCTCTTCTCAGGGAAAGATGTGACGTTAATGATGAAGAAGAGAACCGGGCGTTAATTCACCTCCATCTTTTGGGGCAGATTTCTAACATCAGTTTAACACCTAGGCATATTTGAAACTGGCATTTCAAAACCATTTTATGCAGACTGCGCTCTCCCGGTATCAAGTGCGTAGTTTGATACTGGGGGGATTCAACTTAATTTAAATACAAGGGTCTTGTTAAATTAAATGTTGGGGGTATACATCCCTTTCGGCTCCTACGCCTTTGCCTGGAATTGTTGTAAAAACATTAACGGTCCCGGTTCAGCGTATATAATTGAGTTGTTTTCCTATCTCACACATTACCACACCAAGCAGGAATTCACAACACATGGGGGGGGAGAGAAGTGCTAATCTGGCCAGTTGATATTGTACCAGGCTAAAATTGGCAAAATCGATTAGATGCACTTTCCCCTTTTCTCGAACTGGCAGAAAATTCCGAACTTCGCATGTGTTTGTGTTTATTTTTAGCATGACACTGGAAGCGGAGACAGCTTAGCGGATGACATGACTGGGCAGAGATCAGAGCCGGTCATATGGCAGTTAATACGTTTGCTGGTAATTTGCAGTAAAATGTCCTGGCTGTGCCACCGAGCGTCGCTTCGCCTCCGTCGTTTTCCGTCACGTATTTGCATAATAACCCTATTCAGCAAAAGAATTTAAACGATTACGCCGCTAACTTATTTTAAGTGTGCGCTCGGCCTTAATTGCAATTGGCTTTCAGTCGCTCAAGCTGCAGAGAGCTAATTAGGAAGCTCATTAAACGAGTATCCCCTGCACATGGCACAGTTACCGTATCCACTGGTGGGCCCATTACGGTGGCAAAACACTCCTGATTGGCGTGCGATTCTGAAATTAAAACATGGGCGCAGGCTTCACTTCTTCACACCTTATAGTTACTGAAGTCCAGAAAAACAGTTTTCAACCCAAGTTACACAACTATATATAAAGCCTTCGTTGCAAAATAAAAAAATAGTAGAATGCATTGCAACTGAAAGAATGGTACAGGATGTTGAAAAAGGCCCAAAAATGGTTGATTCAAAACCATCAGTGTTGTGTTATTTATGGGACTGAATATACTGTGAAATTATTAAAGACCCTGAACACATATCAGCAGACTGACAGATTTCTCCTGCAATGTATTGTATAAAGAATGAATGTGTGTGTGTGTATATAGCCTATATATATATATATATATATATATATATAATTTCTCAGATAATCAAGCCATACAAACTAAACATTGAAACAAAGGCAATATCAATCCAATGCACAGAAAATGATCACTGTTTGAGATCTGATCATCACCCCTCTTTGATGATTTCTACACAATAAATAATTACACATTTTCAACAACAGTAACACTACAACTAAGCACGACGATAATTCTTATGGCAAAAGCCATGATACACTTATAAATGAAAGGAACAGTAAAGGTATTTGCTTTGTTCTGTTCTGACCACGTCTTACAAAAAGCCGATAAATGAGAATTTCACCTTCTTGCTAAACTACTGCACGTGTTTTTCTAATCTGCCACTGAAACCACTTGTTCCTTGTGTCACCGCAGTCTAGATATGACAGAGTTTCCTCCCATTCCCTCATCGCAAAATCTCATTCGGGGGGTTTCTCCTTGAAAGCAACTAAAAATATACAAACATGCGAGAAGCTGCAAGATACCTGTGAAATGCTACACAGGGCTGGACAGGATTTTAAAGAAAAATAAAGCTACTAGTCAGGGTTATAATATGGCTTTTTAGAGTAACTGGGACTTTCTTAAAGCCTTGCTTTTTATGAGTTACTACATTAAATGTCAAATATAATGAAATGGTGATTTTAAGGAATACATGCCTTACATTCAAATGTCAAGTCAGGAGAAGATAGATATAACAAAAAGACACGGTATTTTTGAAAGTCAGGAAAAAAGCCTTCTTGGGAACAACTGAGTAAAAATGATTCATGTACCCTTTTCTTACTTTTGATAAATGAAATGCAGCCTTACTTTTTATTCTCTGTTGAATTACAATTCATTTCAGAATAATGCATGCTGTTGAGCTGACTGAAACCTTAACATTGGAAAATAGCCAAAAATCAGAGAGATTCATTCGTTTATAAACAAACAAAAAAAAAAGCTGTGAATAAGGTGCAGGATTGCAGAAACATTTTTCCCTCCTCCACTGAAATGGCTTCTATAGATTTCCGTCCCCAGACACATTGTGGGGCAGTTAAAAAAACATTAGAAATATATTTTCTGTGCGTTTTGACGGAGACGTGGAGGTGGATCAGCATTGCCCATCCAGGGGCCCTGGTCCACCATTCTGTAGATCACCTCCTGTATCTGTGGATATTGCCAACATTGACTAGATGTTGGCCACCATGGCCATATACTTTGATATGCTACTGGTGCAGTTTCCCATATCTGCGCCTTGATGTGATCCTTTGATCCAGGGCCGGTCCAAGGCATAAGCAAACTCCCTGGCTGTTTAGAGCCAAGCAGCCACCAGCCCCCCCATTCTGATCAGCCTATCAGAATGAGAAAGATGACAAATGACTACTAGGATAATCAAATTTTGCTTAGGGTCCTTAAGAAGGTTAAGCCAGTCCTGCCTGTATCAAAAAGACATAGGATCAGCAGGTACTCTCTATATCCATTCCCCTACTATCACAATGCCTCAAACCAAGTACCTCCAACCTTCTAAGTAGCATTGAGACGGGGTGGGCTGTCACGCCTTACCAACCGCATGGTGAGAAACCCCTTAGAAAAGTTCCCTGTTGCTGCATATATTGCCAGAATTTGACAGAAAGCCAACGAGCAAACCCTGTACGCTGACTAAACATGGTGTGAATGCAGGACCTGTCCCCAGGCTGGACAAAACGGAAGCTGCAAGGGCACGGAGAGTGAATCCTCCGGAAAAAGCGGGACGCTGAAAGACCTGAAGCTGGGGACGGATGTTTTTTTTAGACTACCACAAGGGGGCGCTGCATTTACTGTGCTTCAACATGGCTGGGGGCTGAATAAAACAAATCATGGGTTAGTGTAAGATTTCCTAGCTCCCTGACCGCGAAAGGTAAGTTACATCCACCCTATAAGATCATAAGTCCCATATTATCCCAGTGTATCATGCAAAAATGCTCATCACTTATCAAAGTTGGTTTGAGACTAGTCAAGACTGGCCAGTTTTCAGCCTTCAGGTATGTTGCTTCTATTTTAATTCCGGTAATCTGAATGAAAAGCCTTTAGTGATCAAACTGTGCTCGTTATCGTCACTTATTCAGCATTTTTCTCGTACCGTAATTAGTTTTCAAAGCCGGACGACTCGCAGACACCAGCTGCATGTGCTGCCGTTTCCCGTCATACCGCTAATACTCCTGGCAGCCAGCAGCGTCTGCAGAGGCTCGGCGATGACACATAAAGTGCTTCTATAACCTCAAAGTCCTCGCACAAGCTACGGCTACGCTGCCTCTCACCCCATCTGATCGCTAAAAATACGCACCGCATGGAGGCTTTTCTCCACGTGATGCCACCGGGGGACACTAATCAACTGGGTGGCATCCGCAAGGCCGCAAGCTTTTCAGATACACTTTTTTTTTCTTAAACAGCAAGCACAAGAGGACAGGGATACAGTACTTGTTACAGTTCGGGCGTGAATTAAAAAAGCGATGTGAACTGGCAGTCAGCTGAGCTGCATTCCACCTACGAGTCAGCAGACCGCAGACACTGTCCTCGCAGCAAGGGCTCCGGTGGCGCATGCGCATCACACCCGCGACCAGCCGCTGAGTGACGCTTGGGTGCTCCCCGCTTAACTTAAAGGGTATTGCACAAAGCGCGTGGACAAACAAAAAGACGTTATTAAACAGGGGAAAACGCTTCCCCTATTTAAGTCATCGAAGGTTATAGGCAACTGGTCAACAGCCTCTTGGTGTTAGGCTGTGTGTCACACACACATCCGTGGACTGGGTCCGGTCCCCAGAACAATAGTCTAATATATAGTTTTTGCATCCAGTAATGATCAGAATATTTTTCCTTGCCTACTGCTACTTACACTTTATATACATAATATAGAACAATTTACCTACAGGAGTTTTGTACATGCTTATATATATATATAGATATTTTAAAAAGCCCTAATGAAAAGAATGTTTATTACATAAGGCATTATATACAGAAAGGATTTTTTCCCCGTTCATTTTCTAACACGGTATCAAACTGCCTGTTTGCCAAATATTCACAAATCCGTAACATAAATCCACCGTTACTGGCTAGGAACAAGTATTGAAATATGTACAAAAATACAAATGCAAATGCCCTAGAATATATATATATATTTATATATATATATATATGTATATATATGTCAGATCTTTTTTTTTAAAAAAAAAAACAAAACAAAATTATAATAACTCTTACTGTTAAGAAAGAAATTTTCAGAGCATGCGATTGTCCCAGCCTTGGTATCATAGATATTTTGTGGTTATTCTCCCAGGCAGAGATAGATGAGAGGAGATTTCGGAGTGGGGAGCACATGAGACCTTTTTTTGTGTGCTTGCTGCCCCCCGCCACCCCCCCACACACCTTGCCTCTGCACTATCTGGTCCACATATCAATTTGAGCTTTCAAAAAAAACCCCAAGCCTACAATTTTGACTCAAACTCTATGTTTGCAATATCTCCATTGCGTTCCGTCTGCTCCTCTGGCTCTTCGTGGTCGATCATCTCTTGCTCTACGTCCAGAGCCGCCTGCTGGTTCAGCTTGCTGGCCACAGACCAGGTAAGGGGCAGGCTTGCCCGGGCAGTCATTTCAGACAGCTCCCGGGCACTGCAGGTTGGCGTGTTGGTCTCGTAGACCTCGTGAAAGCTGTTGTAGTCCACCTCGTAGAAGCCGTCCTCCAGCGTCAGCACCGGTGTGAATCGGTAGCCCCACTTGATCTCGCTCGTCACATAGGAGCTCCTGGCTTGGCAGGTCATTCCTGGATGGGGAGGAAAATACAAAGACGTGAGCCGTGCTTGCATCTGCCGGCAGCCACCAAGCTTATACACAGCCTCTTCGAAAAGATCGAGAAAATAACAAAGCTGTGTTTAAGATATGGGGTCCTCGATTGTTGCTTTTGGCTAACAGAGCTTTTTACAGAGCCGTTTGGCTGTCTCTTCATTACTGAGTGTTTCTTGGGGTCTCCTAAGGCTGATTAAAGCTTTTGAACACCTCTTCCTCTTTTCCTTTGTGATCACCTCAGCACAACCCTTCAGGTAAGTCTAGGTACAGAAATTCTCCTTGGAGCCAAAAGCCAAAAATGAAATTACTCAAGAGCCAGAATAAAAATGGATGGGCCACACAATCCAATACAGCTCAATAACATTCATAATACCTTACAAATTGTTATGCATTGGCCTGTTGTGTCATGTCATCATACTAACATCCCTCAACAGCCATAAAATTCAAACCAATCTGCTCTGTTCAGTTACCACAACAAGACACTATATTCAGAATCTTAACAAATCACCCCATAGCAGATGTAGGAACAATAAAAACATTTTCACACACAGCAACTGCATAATGTGTAATAAATCTGCAATGCACAGCCATAGTCGATAGATGCACAAAGTACCCAAATCAAACTCCAACACAGCAAAGTATCATTTAAATTCTTTAGCAAACTTATTTAACTTCAGTGGCAGCCTGTTTCTCTCCAGGCTTCGGCAGACATCTCAACAATCCGACAGGCTTAAGTAGGCCTAATTCATGGTTTTTCCAAGCATACTACAACAGTGAACCAAGAGCATCCTCTCGTACACAAAACACTATCAAATTACAACACAGGAAACATCACATGCATTATAAGCCATAAACATTATAGAAAGAACTGCAATGACATTTCACAACCAACTTTGTTAACATGTCACCATTGTTATACTGCAGTAACACTCAACAGGTTACACGACCGCCTGACAAATAGACTACTGCAATAAAGAACAATTTTAGGCCTACCTTTGATGTCTTGCTGAAGGCGTTTGATGGTGCTAATTTGGTGCCCCCCCAACCCAATAACATTAACAGCGGCATCCTCTATACTTGGTTACATCCCAAAAGTGTTTTTGACAGCTCCCTCCCTCGATGACTCACTGTCTGAAGTTGAAAGTTCATGAAGCTGACAAGGGAAGGAATGACTGAGTGAGAGAGGAAGGTAGTGTGGACAAAAAGTGATATTGGGACACACTTTCATCCTCGACTCTGCCTGTATGTATGAAGTCATGACTGATGTAGAAGCTTTTGTGCCACATCATGCGTGGGTGTAAACAAAGGTGAATTTCTGTTCCGCAAAGGGTAGTCTCGACTAGGTGATCTGAGCAAAAATCAGCCTTCGATGACTCATATTCCATGACTTTTTAAAATATTAATATAAAATTATTTTAATTTATTATTAAAATAATTTATTTGTCTGATGTAACCGATTTTAGTGTTTTGGATGCATGGAGTTTGTTGCTAGTGATCATTAAGCATCATAATTAGGACTGGGCGACGTGCGATATTGATATCGACTCTGCATGTTATGCACGTGCAATACTCGCATCGCAAGGATCGCGATAATCAGCTTGGTTGAGATCAGGCTTTTTCGTAACTTCATAATGTCCGGACATTATACTGCAGTGTACGGCGTTTTCAAAAACAACGTTAATTTGCAATTCGGTTCCAGTATTTTGAAATCTTGGCGATAAGGTTCGCTGAGTGCGGGGCCCCCCGCTATATATAGTTTCGCTAAAACATTTTAACTGTCCTAGGAAACAAGCATTGCAGTTTTAATGATTGTTCCTTTTCAAGAATATCTAGTAGCCTATGTTAAAAAATCAGTTTAAAGTTTACTTCCGCTGATTTGCATGAGCTCCGCACGCGCTCTCCGGGGCAGTCATTATCCATTTTCATCTTTGTTGTTTCAGTCATCGACGGGTTTATTGGAAATAAATGTATTTTGAACTCACTTTTTGCTTTATAAATATTGCAATATCTGAAAATGTCCTATTTCGTGCAATTTTAATAATAGCAAATATATCACAAAAAGCAGCTATTTGATAAGGTGGGCCTAGACAAAAGCCATGCCGCTTCCTTGGAGCAAATGGCGACTAAACATGAAAACTGGAGCGGCTCGTCAATGTAAATCCGCCGAATACCAAATCATTATCATCAGAAAAGACCTTTACCAAATGATTGGCGTTTGGGGTTGAAAAGCTGGTATTATACGATTAGCCACATTATTTTTTCTAATGAATTGGAATCAATAATAATTATAAAATAATGTCGTGGTAAAGGAATCATTTAGCAGATTTAAAACTTTTCCCAGTTCTTCTCTGCCTCCTTTCATCTTCCCTGCCTCTCCAGCGTCTGCTGTGTAGCCCGATCTGTCATACGTACGACACAACGCGGGACGGCGCATCACCGATTCCGAGCAAGAAGAGGGGTCTGCTTTGGTCCACCTGCTACAAACCCCTTATCACCGTCGGCTAAAAGAATGTAACGTAATAAAAAATCACATAGCACCTGACAAACCCAAACTGTGATCTTGAGCACAAAATAAAATCAACATTTTTCGTCTATTAGTAATAGGCCTATCTGAAAGTAGATGCATCACACAACACAAAACTTTGTGTTTAAGATTACAAGTTGAAGTTGAATGCTGACATTTTAAGTCAGCATTTTTTCGCTCTCGGTATTTTTAGATATGTTACACATATAAATAGTGAAATATAGTATATAAAAAGCAGGAATGTAAGTGGTGCACATAGAGTTTAGCCTGCCAAAAACACGTTTTGCGTTTGTAATAATGAATCTTGCAGTGAGAATTTTAATTGCATGCATGGCTTGTCTTTTGTATATTTTTATCCTGCTATGTATGCAGTGTTTTTAAAGCATGACATTCTGTAAGGACGCAGTTTTCCTTGATTTGCTGTTTGCCTTTGTGTTCCAAAGGATGAGTCTGATATCTGACAGCTGAATAGAAAATTACGCTAGGAACCATGTCGGCTCTTACACGAACAGCATTTGAACAGCCTGTACGTTTCACCTGTACCTCACCTCCGGGAGCAGCCTCGGCAACACAGAGCCGGGGACACTCATTTCCATCTGGCTTGACTTTCACACTTGCTTATCGAGAAGAACTGCAGCAGATGTGATCGAGGGAAATGCTTTGTAATGCTGATAATTAACATTTACCCAACAGCGAATAATGTTTCCGAAATTTACTTGCTACCGGTCAGGCACGCAGGAAGTTACGAAAATTATGAGACTAAGTATTTATTTCTCCTTAATATTCAAAAATTAGGATTTTCAGCATATTCTGTTTTTGTACTGTGTACTTTAAAAAAAATCTTTCGCTCCCGCCCACCGAATGTACCGAGCCCCTTCACCGATCCGCAAAATCAACCGATGCCTGCCCCTGTCTCGAAATTTAACATCCAGAGGGAAATTGCAGTGAAAATAGTCCCATTAGAAATTTTGAGGACCGAGTGACGAGCAAACACTTGGACGCTGCTGATCAGGCCCGATGAACAAAAATAAATTTCGATTAGGATGCTCTTCATCAAGCCTGACGAAGCGCTGTTTGTTTGTTGCGTAATGTGTTAAAAATAGGTAGCGCTGGGAACATTTTCGGTGAGCGGATCCTATTTACTTGTTTATTTTGAGGCAACCGTTTTGTCTAGCGCCTACATGCATCTGGACGTGGGCCCCATATCTTCTGATTATGTTTTGCAGCTGAGCGGAGCAGCTGGTGGCTGAACGCTGTGGAAAACCTCGCTTCGGGGCACCGAAGTTCGTGCAACATGGAATACAAACCTGCGTCCCCCGCCCCTAGACTACCGCATGTCTTCGCTTTCAAATTCGCTCTTAGCGCTACGAGATGAAATTCCCATCTTGCTTCGTCCATCATGTATTTTTTTTCAGCTATGTGAAGCCACCGCGGCGGGATAATCCGCTTCCCCGGGACTGCGGTGCTCCAGCAGCACTCTTGAAATCTTTAGTCTTCTCTGCCAGGAAGCATGGAAAGTCAGACTCATCGTGTGATTACGGATTCTGATGAAGCAGCCGTGTAAAGAGCGTCTTCTCCCCAACTGTACACTCCAGAAGCGGGGACAGATACCCTTCCTTGACTTGCAGAATTGCTACCTGAGGGCAAGGTGAACTCAAATACGCATAAACTAAAACAAAAGCTAATTTAGGAACTCAAATATTTCATTTCCTCCCATCCTGTTACATCCTGCTCAGGTTCATTAATTATTTAGCAGGAGTAAAAGCCATGTCAATATAATTACTGCCAAACAATAACAGAGGCTTTTTGTGGTATCATTAGTTGATAGATGTTGCAGAAGAGGCTGCCACTGACTTGGTACAATGAGCTCAGACACCTTTGGAAAAGCATCACCAAAGTTCTGAGGTTGTAGTGGCCGATTCCTTTCTGCTCTCTATCTCATCCAGAGCCTGAGCCGCACTCTGGAGAAAACGCAGCGATGCCTTAAAAATGCATTTAAAATCACAACAACATCTGACAGTTCAGAGGGAAAAGCCAGAGACCAAGGTCCGAACCAGAGCACATTTATCAAAGCCAGGACCAGACTGGAGAAGCCAGGTCTTCAGTAAAGGTGCAAAGCTACTATGCTGTAGAAGAGTGTGACCCTTACACTGTCAGAAAAAAAGGGTATAGCCCCACTATAATTTAGTTCCTCTAGGTCCAAACAACATTCATGTACCCCCAATGATCATCTCCAGAATTCTCCAGACAATGAAAGCCAGAAGTCAACAAAGTCGACATAATAAAGCTTCCAAGACGATTCCTCAGAATTTGTTTCACAGTTCAGTCAATTTAGGCCTTGAATATCATATTATGGGAGCAATAAGGGGTTTTGAATGGTTGATTTAAGAATGTTTATGCGGGATGAATGCTTTAATTATTTCATAATAAGTAAATTGGCTTTCGTCTGTGGG